ACAAAAAATAGCATCACAAATGCCATTCATAGCCATTGAACGTTAGAGCAAAGCCTCTTCTACAACCCATTCATGTTCACAACAGACAAAGTTTTCTAGTTATCGACAAATTATTGTCCATTTTCATAAGAATTAGGAGAAATCAACAAGTTCACAAAAGCAGAAAATTAGGCGTCGTCTGGTCGGCTGCAAACAAAAATTAGATGGCGAGAGTTAACGACCTCACGTCTCTTTCCGTGGAACAAATAATGTTATTAATCGGTGTCTAAACTAATAGAAAGTCTTCACTGAGAATTGCAACATCTTTTGTGTCAAACTGTATATCATTATTGTAATATGTAAGATAGTTTAACGATCACTATTACAACATTATGCATGTGTATTAACATGATGAAGCGCATGTGGAGCAGTCCTGCCAGGGAGGAGCCCTGCAACACACACGTGGAATCGATTATGCGCCCATGGCCCACCAAGCCATCCATCCTTCCGTGGTCGCCAAATTGGTACCACATTTGTCTGATAAAATAGCAGCACTGACTCGATACATCGGTAGGCTTCCGCGAGTCATTGGAAAGTCCAGATATCCATTCAATCACCATTCAAAGATTGCACGACTGAGAGATTTTCACAAATTCCCTTCACAGTTTCGTTCACTGCATCTCGGACTAGTTCAAGTGGCAGTCTCCCGCGACTTTTCTGGTATCAGTGGTTTTAGCGACTTAGACTGAAGATGACAGGAAATATGTCAGTGATCAAAGCAGGCTTGACTTGAAGTTTATAACTGTTTCCTAAAAGTGCTATTACATAGAACGTAGCTGCCACCACTCGTGAAAAACCACTGGATAGTCATTTGATAAGTATACCTGACGGTCGCTGGGGGCACATTAAAGAATGTTCGTCACCAAGGTGCCACTGTACCTAAAGGGACAAGAACGAACAGCCTCTTGCGATTGGTGGCCATCAGTGCTTGACGAGTGTGCCACGCTTCGCTTGTCTCAAAAATCCAAACTGCTATGCCTCTTGCTATCTGCCGATCTCAAAAGGTAAGTGCGCTCATTTCATCAGCGGTGTTAAATGTATTTTAGCAAAAAGCGTATGTTAACGGTTTCTCTTTATTAAAAAATCCAAAGAGATTCGATAAAAATGTCGCGCTTCAGTTTTTTTAATTCCCATGAATCTTCAATCCGTTGCTGATCAGAAATCAGTACGAAAGAAAGTTGAATCTCATCAATAATCTATGTGATACTCGATGGGGTAATGGTTTTCGTTGGACCTCAATGTAACTAAAGAGATAGGCATCTACCGTTCATGCGCTTCTCTGGTGAATCACTTGCCACCTCTATTAGAAAACTTTTCTGAGTTACTGGGTTCACAAATCGATTCATTACCGTTCAAATTGTAGCCCAACTCATCTCGTTTAACAGGTCAGGTGAACTCGAAGAAAATTCTTCCTTCAAACTACCGTTTTTCTAACATTCCCGTCATTTCCACAAATAACACATAGTTCACGCGAGCAAGACACGCCCCGGGGTCAAAACATCATTTTGAAATATGGCGCCAGGTCACGCGTGATAGTGAGGCATTCGTCCTTCCGGTTCATCTTTGGATTTTTGAAATTTATCCAAAACGCCTCGAGAGTTTTGCGCGTTGATGTTTTTGATTCCTGCGCTGGGATCCGCACATTCACTTCAAAATCATCGCCGTTATGCTTTTGTGCCCTATGCGTACCTAGAGAGGTGTTTAAACGGATTTTAGCTTTCCCATCTAGATGTTCTTTTATGCGGACACAAAGTGGTCTACCCGTTTCCCCGATATATTCCTCGCCGCATGCATTACATGAGATCAAGTATATTATACCTAAACTCATGCAATCCCCGTCTCTCCCGTTGGGACAGATCATACAGTTTTCTGAGCTGCACAAACGATCATAGAGACGGTTTCGAACTAACTGGCGGCGTAGGGTATTGGGTGGGATGTCAATAATCGTTACATAATTTTCAAGACCACTTTTTCTTAAGCACTTTTTAATGGCGTGTCTTACTTCATTTGATATGAAGGGCAGCTTAAAGGGGATCTTACTTTCGTCTGAAATATTATTTTGGGAAACTACCCAATGTTTTCCTCTAACCCGAGTGGCTTCTACTTCGTAGCCATTGGAAATGGCAATTTTTCGTGCCAGGTTTCGCGATTCCTTCCTTTCCTCTTCTCCTGTACACACATTTTTAGCCGTACGATACTTATTTTTGATAAGTGCTTTTTTCATGTGCGAAGGATGAGAGGAGAGGCAGTGGACTAGAATGTTTTTACTACTTGGCTTGCGATACCATTTTGTTAAATAGCCACTTACTGAGAGCTTTATTTGGATGTTCAAGAATTGAAGCCAGTTCTCGGTAGGTTTTTCTCGTGTACATTTTTGGTGGGCCATAGGCGACAACGACAACGAAGATCTGTACCAACCTCGCGTCAGCTTAAGAAGATCAGTAAGAAGATGTAGAAAGAAGATAAGAAGAAAATCAGATCACATAAATAAATATATCAACTATAACGTTGCTGAGATATTTGCAAAACTCTGGACCGCAGGTGTATGCGGTGGGGAACGAACGCGTAATTGCCCTTTCCGGGGAGTAACGCGTTCACCACCACACCATACCAGCCCTACGTTTCGCCTGTCTTTTAGCTAGTTCTATGGATCTTTTGCCATTAGCAATCACCCGTCAGCGGGATAGATCTGGGAAGCCCAAATCGGGAGCGAACCTAGTTAAGCTGAGGCTGTAGTTGAAATCACAATGTTTAATGTTTTGTTTTCTGCCTTCTATAATTTTCATGGCAGGTTACTAAGCGAAATACAACCACAACGTTGTTGAGATATTTGCAAAACTCTGGACCGCAGGTGTCTATGGTGGGGTACGAACGCGCTATTATCCTTTATCCTGAGAGACGTGCGAAACAAAGGACCCGCATGGTGTGGTGGTGAACGCGTTACTCCCCGGAAAGAATAATAGCGCGTTCGTCCCCACCATAGACACCATGCGGTCCAGAGTTTTGCAAATATCTCAGCAACGTTGTGGTTGTATTTCGCTTAGTAACCTGCCATGAAAATTATAGAAGGCAGAAAACAAAACATTAAACATATATCAACTATCTATGCCGAGGTTTATAGAAAGTCGGTCTTTCGAGTCTAACGATTATTATTACAATATTACGCATGTGTATTAACATGATGAGGTGCATGTGGCGCAGCGGTCGGAGGAGCCCTGCAACACACACGTGGAATCGATCCTGCGCCTATGGCCCACCAAGCTATCCTTCCTTCCGTGGTCGGCAAATTGGCACCACACTTGTCTGATGGGATAGCAGCACTGACTCGATACATCGGTAGGCTTCCGCGAGTCGTTGTAAAAGCCACTTATGCATTCGGCCACCTCCAAACGATGCTTAATGAAGTCGAAGTCATGGCGAATCCCTCAGGGATTGATCGACGCCAAGATCTTTATTCTTTTCTACTGACATGTTACACAAATATTGTTCGGTTTTTTTCTGAGCTTGCATAATAGATTGCAGCACTCAGACCAGGCCCCTAGCCCATGCAGGTATGTGAAAGTGGCTTAACGAAGCGCTACAATTGCACTTTAATAATTATTTTTCGAAAGTCGCATTGACCAAACGTGGAGTTATTAACCAGTATCATCCTGATTATGGTGCTAGTTTGATTCCGCTCTGGGACCAGTCAAGTCTCTCATCCCTTCGGGGTCGGGAAATTGGTATCGGACTTCTCCGGGAAAAAAATACTCCGCAATCTCATTGGGTACGCTCCAGCCCGGCTATCTCAGGACTCCAGAAAGGATTGCTGGACCGGCGTTCTACGACGTTCAAGATGAAATGATAATCCTCAAGCAGCTGAGGCCACACGCAAAAACATGGAAGACCTTCGTGGGCGACGAATGCGAGGTAACGAATTGGATGTGAGAATGCGATCCTAACAGAGAGCAGACGTAAAGACGAACCAAACAAAATAAAATATAAAAGTAAAAAAGTGTTTCCCCAAGAAAGAACTGTGTGTCTTCCATGACTGACTTCTTAATAGCCACAAACGAGTGCTTCTGGGTTGCGTAAATATCCATCAAGTTCACATTCGAGAGGTAGAGTTCTACATTTGCGGCGGAGGCCTATTTAAGAATGAGTCTGTATAGAGAAACGTTGTAAGCTTAGAACATCGTAGTCGCAAAGCAGCACCACTGCCATACATGCGGTTCTCAATAAAGCGACAACGCCTTTGCCGATGATTTGGGAGTGCATAAAATTTCACACAAATGGAAACCGTACCGTGTGCTGCGATAACACTGAAGACAGGCAATGTACATTGGCAGCATTGGAAAAGCCATTCCTTAGCAAGCTCTGGAGATAACGAAGCTTTCGGGCACACCATATAAAAAACAACACAACTTCTCTTCTTTCCTGCTGCCGTTTATCTCCGCTGTTTCTTGTAACGTATTCCAGTGCTTTCACGTTCATAAAATCACTGCAGTGTTCTCAACGATTGCACGAGTGTACCGTGTTTAGCTATGCCTAGCAGAAATCAATTTCATTGTTACACAAACAGTGGGTCGTTCAAAAGCCTTCCTAGTTATCAAGAAATAGGTCTGACACTTTGGCGCAACGAAAAGAAAGCAGTATTTCGAAAAAAAGTAGTTCCACAGGCTTTGCATGAAAAATTTGCCTTCTATTTGAAGACAATCTGCGTTGCTAAAATGAAAGCCTGTAGTCCAAAATGATGGGTTCAGAGGAGTAGGACGCGAATATAAAAGTAAATAAGAAGATGTAATGAAATAGAGAAAGTATTGCGTCCATAGCCATAGCGATCAACGATAAGAATTGAGGAGAACTTTGTAGGTGGACTAAGAAGCATGGAAATAAAAACCCATGGATAGCACTAACTCTTAGCATTTCACTGATATAACAACTTCAAAATATATTCACAACAACTGGTCTTGCTTTCAGCAATGAAGACCATTCTCGTTCTCACTACGCTAGCAGCCATTGCTCATGGCAAAACGTACACGATGGAGACTCATTCGTCGGGATCACTCATTTCCCGTCTCATCAAGTAAGATCTACGTGAAAATTCGACGTCCATTTATTTAGGATTGGCTGAGCCTGGAACCAAATCGGTTTGTTTCCACGCACTTCAAATTGCAATGGGCAAAGCGCTGGCACATGCATTCGTATGCCGCGTTGGTCGTCGCCTTTACTCAGGATTACAACCACATTTTCATCGTATTCGAGCAGTAGTGCTGTCTTCTTCAAACAATACCCTTGGACCGAAAAGTTCTCGGTCGCAGCTCGGATATAACGCAAGTGTGGATTTATGAACTATTTCGTGCGCAGGCAAAAACCTGTCAACACTAATTAAAACATTCTTTTAAAGAAAATGAAAAACGATGATCGTTCGTGGCACTCAAATTCTCCAACCAATCGCTTAGAACAATCCTATATTTAAGGGAAAAACAATACCAAAAGTATCTGGAAGAACGGAATCTACACCGTTCTCAAGTGCTCGTGAAAGGATCGCAGCCGGTTGTGGACTTCTTTGACGCCTATTACCTCGTAAACATCACAGTCGGAACACCTGGTGAGCACATATGAAGTAGTTAAGCATTGAAGAAATCGCCAGCAGCCTTCACTTCGTAAAGAAAGAGCTCAACGATTATTGTCTGGAAGTTTCATAAAGTGGTAGAAGAGAGTTGGAAAAAATTTTCTTTCCAACACTTCTCCGTAACTGAGAGGAGAGAGAAGCATGGAAAGGCACAGAGGCAGAAAAGGTTTTCCATAAAACAGTTCATTGTATATATTGCAAGTAGATCAACGTCACTTACGTTAAAAACGAGTTAATCTAAACCGTAGTGTTGTTCAGATTTACTGAAAGATGAACCTAACTACTTTTCTTGAATTCCTTGTGGGCGAAATCCCACTAGATACAAGACCCGATCCGTTCCTTCTTTCACACTTCATTTAGCCGCGTTTTTCTCATTTAGTCAGAGAAATAGTAAAAAAAACTGCTTAGTTATGGAACACTATGTGTCCTATAACACAATTACATCGCAACCACATTACTTTTGATTTTAGGCGAAACCGCTTTCAGCGATGTTCAGAGATATGAAAAGATTCTCATTTTTACTCATTGGTATCTCAAAAGGTTATAACACAGATCACAGGTTATAATCGCCGAGGAAGTTTTCGTCAATACCACGTGCTCTACATTTTTAGGCCAGAACTTCACACTGTTGCTGGACACCGGTTCATCAAGCCTCTGGGTGGTCGACATAAGTTGCAACACAGAAGCCTGCACTAACCCATTTAGTTCCAGAAGAAACCGATTTAATTCCTCGACGTCGTCCACATTTTCTACGGAAAACCGCACGCTCTTTATTGGATACGATTTTGGATCGTGCGATGGACGCATCGCAACGGACACCGTCTCTTTTGCAGGTATTTGTAGTCAACATCTTCGGAAGCATATGAAAGGGCGGGAGACGTGACACTAAGCTGTCCCATAACACCTCAAATCCAGCCAATAAATTATAGTGGTGTTAGCTCATCATTCAGAACTAGGATACCCTATAAGATCGTTCGCTTACTAGTTGTGGAGACCCAGTTAAACAACAATCAAGCGTTCATGGTTCCGTTAGCAATTGCAAGCTGCAATGCATGTTTACTTAGGACAAGAAAGGCAAGTGTTATCTGATCATTAAGTCAAGATTCTCTTGAAATTTTGTAATACAAGAAAAAGTGTACTGAAGAAAGTTGCAGCTAGTGAAGACGAACACCGTGAGGTGATTAAAGTTGCACTTCATTATACAAGTGTCTCGCTGTTCGATCTCGTACCCAGGTCTAATAATCTTCCCATCATCCGGAGTTGACGAAATTGTGCCGAACTTTTCTAGAAGAGTAATATCACCTTCTTTAAATATTTTTAGACCCCCGTTCGTCATTGCAACGGCCAATTATCTATCGTATCACCTTTACGATGGAGTCAAATGTGTGACGCATCCTTTAAGCTTTGATCAACGCCGAACACTTTTTTTACCTTCTAGTTTGGTCCAGTTTTGTTTTCTGCCTTCTATAATTTTCATGGCAGGTTATTAAGCCAAATACAACCACAACGTTGCTGAGATATTTGCAAAACTCTGGACCGCAGGTGTCTATGGTGGGGAACGAACGCGCTATTATCCTTTCCGGTGAGTAACGCGTTCACCACCACACCATGCGGGTCCTTTGTTTCGCACGTCTCTCAGCTATTTCTATCGATCTTTTT